GCCGTCGTCGTCGTCGTCGTCGTTGTCGTGGTGGTCGCCGTGTCTCCTTTTCTTGACGTTCTCTCGATCCGTCGTTTCTCTTTCACTTTTGCTTCCGTTTCCACTTCCGTTCCCGTTCCCTTCGTTCCCCTCTTGTTCCACTTTTCTTCGTCTTCCCACCGCCTCCACCTCCGCCACCGCCTCCACCGCCTCCTCCACCACCACCTCCTCCTCCTCCTCCTGCTCTCGCTGCCGCTCCTCGTTCTTGCACTCGTGCTCTTTGCTCTTCTTCTCCTCCAACTCTTCTTTCTTCGCTTCTTCCGCTTTTACTGTCTTTGCTTCCACTTTTACTTCTCTTCACTTCTTCTTCTTCTTCTTTTTCTTCTTTTTCTCTTTTCTTCTCTTCCTCCTTCTCCTCCTCCTCCTCCTCCTCGTCCTCGTCCTCCTCGTCCTCCTCCTCGTCCTCCTCCTCCTCCAATCTTTCGGCGCTGTTTTTCGCGCCTTTTGCCTCCGTTTCTTCGCCGATCGAGCAAAGGTGGTTTTGGTCTCGGTGGCGCACTCTCCCTTTACAGATCGGCTGGATCAACAGTTAGGCCGCATCTGCAACACACACGTACACAGCCACCCGAGAAATTACGCGGCAACCACGCGGTTCGTCTCCCACCTCTCTACTCTATTTCTCCACAAACAGGTGCGCCACCGTGGCGATCTTGCTCCCGAGGATCCCGCTGCGATCCTCCAGCATCGTTCGATCGGCACAGATCTCTCTTTCACGTCGAATTCCGCGTTCACGCGTCACGAAGCAAGCGATCCATCGTTTGCCGAACAACTCGCGCCAACAAATCGAGCCGAGATTCTTCGCGCGTCGCGTCGCGACCAACCGGCTGGCGTGCGCCAGGGCGCGCGCGCTCGCGCGCCACTTTCGAAAACGAAACGACCGCGGCTGAGTCGTGAGTCGGAGCCGCGCGCGCACGTCTCTCGCCGTTCAGTTCTTTGCCGCCACTCTTGCCACTCTCTCTCTCTCTCTCTCTTTCTCTCTCGGAGGGAGCAGGTATGTATGTCGTGTTGCAAGTCGTCGCTTCGACGGTTCGAGCACAAGAAAATCCGAGCAAACGGATGTCTCTGTCTGTGCTCCGCGTTCGTGTCCTCAGGACAGATACACGCACACACACACACACACACA